TCCTTTACTTTCTCCCTCTTCTCTCTTTTTGCTCTCTTCCTCCCTCCTTTCTTTCCTCCCTTTTTCTCCTTCCTTCTTTCCTCCCTCCCCCTCTTTTCTTTCCTCTTTCTCTCCCTCCCTGTCTCTCTCCCTCCCTCACTTTCTCCCTCCTCTCTCCCTCTTTCTTTCTCTTCCTTTCTCCTCCTTCCCGCTTTCCCTCCCTCCTTTATTTCTTTCCTTCTTCCCTTCCCTCCCCTACTGAATAAAGTCCCTTTCCCTCAATTTGGCATTCAAGGCCTTCTAGAGGCCCATAGATTTAGAGCTGGAAGGGACCTCAGGGTCTATTCAGTCCAACCCTTTTGCTTTCAAGATGGGGAAATCGAGTCACAGAAAGCTTAATTGATTTGCTTGCCCAACGGTCGCCGAGGCAGTAAGCATTAGAGGCGACATTTGAATCCAGGTCCTCTGACTCCTGAACCAGTGTTCTTGCTGCCCATCCCTCAAGGACTAGCTCCATGGAGCTTCCCATGCTCCCTCTGGCTAGCAGCCATCTCCTTGCCACTGAGTTCGAAGAGCACTTGGCTCTGTCTTTTCACATACTTACCATCTTGTCTTATGGTTATTTGTACCTTTGTCTTCCTCTCACCCCTACTAGACTGACCTTTTGAGGGCTGAGATGCCTCTTAGCTCCTGTTATAGTGCCTGGCCCATAGTTGGTTGAATGAATAAGTGAGATGGATGGACAGCTCCCCAGGCAGACAGCGGTGCCCATCTCATCCTCCGGCTACCCGGGCATCCATAGCAACCAACCCCACAGAGCAACCTTCACATGTATTGGCTCCCTCTACAGGCATAGCCATGGAAATAAAAAGCCAAAAGCCTGCAGGAGGGACTGAGGCACTGGATTAGAAAGCAGCTAGCTTTTCTTCCTGCCCATTAAACTACGTCCTCCAAGCCCCAATACCCTAATGCAAGGTGACTCCTCACTTCCCACCCTCTCCGTGTTGCCTTGTCTTTCTCCTCCACCTCCCCTCCCCGGTCTCCACACCTGAATCTGTGCCTCCCTTTGTAACTATTTGTAACTGCACATGGATGGGCTGTTTCCCTCAATAGAATGGAAGCTCCTGGAGAATAGCTCTTTTGTTTTTTAGCTCTTACATTTGTGTTCTCAGTGCCTAGCACAAAGTCTGGCATGCAGTAGGTGCTTGATACATGCTTGTTGATTGATTGATTTCTCCCCTCTCCCATGCTTGGAATGGACCCTCCCCATCCCAGCCTCCATATCCATCTCCTAGAGTCCCTCCCTTCTAGTCCCAACTCATTCAACAGACATTAAGCATCTACTGTATACAAAGCCTCTAATGAAATGCCTCACTGGAGCCTGGATGTGACCCTGGCTGCTGGAAGGCTATTCCAGGAGAGCATAAGCCCAGACAGGTTCTAACATGTGGTTATGACTGCTGCTCAAGCCAGCACAATGAAATGGAGAAGCAGATGGCCAGGTTCAGATATCACTGCTGCCTCTTAGCACTTCCTCAGCTCTCAAATGAAGGGATAAGGCTACAATGACCTCCAAGGTCCCTTCCAGGTCTCTGTCCTAGCCTCAGTCTCCTCCTGTGTAAAATGAGGGGGTGGGAATGGAGGAGTTCAAAGAACCCTCCCAACTCTGGAATATGACTCAATGATGTCATGACCAGCCTCCAGGTTAGCCACAGTGATACGTGTTCCAGACGTATCTACTCTCAAGGTCCATTGACTAAGCCTTAGAAGGGCTGGGATCTCTGTAGGGGTGAGAGCTCTCATGGGACAAAAGTCACAGATCTTTGATATGCATGCAGGCCACAGGGCTAGGCAATGTGCATGCAAAGATGAATGACACAGCCTTCTTCCTCAAGCAGCTTGCAATCTAATAGGGAAGGAAAGATAATTGAGCATTAATTAGTCACCGACTATATGCCAGGCACTTCAGGTGCAAATCAAGACATCACCCTGAGAACGAAGGATAAATAACAACTATGTGCCGGGCACTGTGCCAAGCACTTTACAAATATTACCTCCTTTGATCCTCACAACAACCTTGGGAGGTAGGTGCTCCATTTTACAATTGAGGAAACAGGCAAATAGAGGGTAAGTGACTTGCCCAAAGTCACACAGCCAGTAAAAATCTGATGCTGGATTTGAACTCAGTTCTTCCTGACTCCAGGCCTAGCACTCTATCCACTGAGTTACCCAGCTCCCTCCAGTAGGGAACCAGGGTAAGAAAAAGCATGTACATTCCTAAATATGATGATCCAGACACTTCTTCCTTGAAGCCTTCCTTGATCCCTTCTGGTGAAGGAAGCTCCTTCATCTATCACTGTTCCTTCTGTCTTGGTCATTTGCCTACTCCAACCTCACCCACCCTCAACTTAACTATAAACTCCTTCAGAGCAAGACCAGTGACCAATCTCTTTTTGACCTTCAGCAGCTGGCTCAGGGCCTTGCAATCAATCAGTGAGCATTTATTACCCATTTACTATGTTCCAGGATAGGGTGGCCCAGTGGACAGAGTACCAAGCCTGAAGTCAAGAACACTCATCTTCCTGAGTTCAAAACTGGCCTCAGGCATTTACTAGCTGGGGGACCCTGGGCAAGTCACTTAACCCTGTTTGCCTCAGTTTCCTCATCTGCAAAATGAGCTGGAGAAGGAAATGGCAAACCACTCCAGTGTCTTTGCCAAGGAAACTCCAAGCGGGGTCATGAAGAGACAACTGAAACATCTAAATAACAACAACCCATGCCAGGCACCATGCAAAGAGCTGAGAATACAGAAAGGTAAAATCAGCCCCTGCCTCAAGGAGCTTACATTCTCAGGAAAATACATGCAGAGATGGGCACATGGACAGAATACAGGCAGAGGCATACCAGGTAAACCCAGAGGGAAGGCTCTAGCAGCTGCTGGGGACCAGGAAGGGTCTGCAGAAAGGTGGCATCTGAAATGAGTCTCCCAAGGAAGCCTGGAATTCTAAGAGGCAGGGGTGAGGGAGAGAAAGACTGCTGGGCACAAGGGGCAGACAGTGCGAAGTCCGAGAGCTGGGAGAGGGAACACTGTGGGTGTGATACAGGAAGAATGCCCATATGGCTGGACCAAAGAGGGAGCGCATGGATGGGAGTGAAATGTGAGAAGACATGATGGGCTGTGAAGGGGGAGGGGAGGGGCCAAGCCTTGGTGTGTACAATGCATCAGCCGCTCTGCTAAACACAAACACAGATATTCCTGGATGTAAGAGACAGAATGGAATCTGAGCCTGATGAAGTGTTGTCATTCAGTAGTTTCAGTCATGTCAGACTCTTTGTGACCCTCTTTGGGGTCTTCTTGGCAAAGATACTGGACTGGTTTGCCATTTTGTTCTCCACCTCATTTTACAGAGGAGGAAACTGAGGCAAATCGGGTTAAGTGACTTGCCCAGGGCCACACAGCTAGTAAGCATCTGAGGCTGGCTTTGAACTCAGGAAAATAAGTCTTCCTGACTCCAAGCCTGACACTCTAACCACTGGACAACCACTACCAACAGAAAAATACTTAATTCGATTTGGCAAGAGCTTCAAAGGCCAGAGGAGTTTATGTTTGATTCTAGAATCTTAGATCATTGGTTGAATTGGTTACTTGATGATACGTCTCTGTCTACTGAGAGGTCTCAGGATGAGAGGGAGTGATTGTGAAAAACCAGAGCTGAAAAAATAAGCCCCTCCACCATTTTGACTTCATTATTGAACTTTATTGCATACAATACCTTAAAACAATTCCTGCGCTCTTCACATCACCGCAAAGCTGCTAGTGTCCGTGGTGGCTCAGTGGCTGGTGTCCTTTACGTCCCCCGTGGTTTGATACCTTTCTTTCACCTCTCCCCCCCCCCCCATCCCCTTCAGGAAAAGAAAAATCTTCAGAGGCCATTTTCAAAGCAAGTGGGTAAGAATAGAGATCTTCGCTCTCTGAACTTGGAAATTACCTGCAAGTGGACCATCCCAGACTGTGAGAGACTGTCCTCTATGTTCAAGCTCACCATAGTATTAGCCTTTCTGAGCCTTTGGTAAGCCCATTATCTGAGGGTCCTGAGTCATTGCCCAAACCCCATCTGTCCTGGCCCGGTGCTGATCGCCTGCCCAGTATCCCAGCTGGCTCTAGCTACCCTCG